CCTCTGTCTGTCTTCCCGTCGTCTCTGTCTCAAATGCTTTTGCTTTCTTCATTTTATTTTTACTGTTCGCGCGTCTGCGTTGAATGCATTCGCTTCCGCATTGATGGGGAAAGTTGCCAGACTTTTTTTTAAGCTTTTCTTACTATTGTTTATTTTTATTTGGAGTGAAGAGGGAATTTTGGCAGAAATGTTGCTGTAAGAAAAATAGTTTAGAATTATTTGTTATTTTAATTGCAATTTAATTGCTTCAAGGATTCGTATATACATATGTATATATGTAGTGCTAACTGTTAATGCACAGTGGTGTTGAAACTGTACGTAACATATTCTTGGTTAAATTATCTCTCTTTTCTTGATTCGTCATATAACGATCCAACGATTTCCGTCGAGTGAGATTGATTCGATAAACCAAAGGAGGTCAACTACATCCAACAACATGAACTGTTGTCACCAAGAGAGGCGAGAGACTTAATTAAGTAATGATTTGGTTGGTCCAAAGTAGTTATTTTTGACGATACTGATTCTGCGTTGGATTTCAAGCCTGGTTTTTTTTAGATTTTTAACTTGTTCAAAGTCAGGGTTGAATAAGTGATGTGAGCTAAGAGACTGACTGTCAGACCAGCAATTGATCCAGTTATTCCCGAGTTTTTAAGTAGTTCACATTCCTAAGTTCTAACCAACAGACTTTATACGTTATGCAGAAGGAAACGTCAGAGACCCTATGAAATGCAGATATAAATGATCGCCTAGATGAACTGAGTCACTTTAGCCATTACCATCTGTCTGTATATACACTAACTAGTTCCCTAGTTTTTGATATATTAATCTACAAATTTTTAAGTATTCATTTTCTTCAAGAAGCTGCTCATCTGTCAATGCCGCCGATATCGAACCACTTTAGGATACACATGCGATACAAACAGAACGATCGGAGTTAAGGACTTGTAGGGAAATCTTTTTCCTTTGATAGAGATATATTCACGATATTCAGGATGAGTTATTGCACAGACAAGCTCTTTGCACTCATCCTTTTCATTCTCTATTTTCTTCAATTCATATCTTAACAACGAATCTTTCGTACTGCAGTGTCCTTTTTTCTGCTACTGTACGTCAATTCTTGCTCGTATACAATTCAGTTTTAAGGGGTCACATGGTTTTCGAAAAAAAAAAACGCGTTTAAAGATTTGTGTGCCTCCATATGTGTGCTATAGAGATATGTGCTATAGATATCCGATCTATCCAATTCTGACAAATGCTCAATAGAATGGCAAAAGGCGCCTACGTGTTAAATTTTATTCGGATATCTCGAAAACTGACGTACAGGATTTTATAATCGGAAGAAAACTTCACCTTAAATGTCGATGGTTCGAAACCGGTTTTAGACCCTTAGTTTCTTAAGGAAATTTGTTTAGCTCTCTGTTGAGCGGCCTCAATAATCGCGGCGTTAGTTCTGCTTTCTCCAGATTGAACAAAGAAGTGAAGCAAAAGGGTCTAGTTGTGAACGAGGGCTAGACGAAATATTTCTTGGCATCAAACAAATAGTCAACGAACCAACATTAACACTAACAACAATATCGGCCTTGAAATCCAACGCAGAATTACTCTATATGTATATGACAACATGTCTTGAGTCGACCTTACGAGTGTTCGAAAAAAGTTTTGGAGAAGATTTATGGCAGTAGAGATCAGGTGGAGAAATACTTGGCTGACTGGTGTGCTTTTGTTAACTCGCCTATAATCGCATAAGCGGCGTCTATGCTAGTAAAAAGAAGAAGAAGATCGATCCGCTCTAATATTCATATGTATATATGAGAAAAAAACACAATCAACAGCTGTTGCGTGCTTTCCTATAAAAATCCGCTTGTTCGTCAAATTGGCCTACCGTCTGCTATTCTGCCACATAGCGTTTGGTATCAAGGCTGAATATCAGGAAGAATGGTAAGAAAGACAAATAACACCAAACTGCTATAAATCCTCAATGCTGTTTGCTGGTTTTCTTTTTTCTCTTCCGCTAGGAAAATAGCAACTGAGCTAAGTTAGCATTTGGAAATATTATCCTGCAAGTCGTATATTTAGCACCCACTTTCTTTGGCTGTTTGTCTTTTGACATTTCTCAATTTGTCGTCGACACTTGTTGTGGACTGTCTGTCGTGCAGTTGTGTGCACGCAATTATTGCATACACTGTTGCTGCCAAATTGCCATATTTTCATCAACTTTTGTTGACTTTGTATTTGTTGTTTTGTTGGATTTGCCAGTTGCTTCGCTCCATTGCGTCAATGACTCAATTAAACTTTAGTACTCGCACTGCACTTGGGCTAATGGTTAACGGTCACCGACACAAATGTAACACTAACAGCAATAGCAACAAAAACTAACTTCAAGCATTGCTTGCTGAGGCTAACATGAGCAATAACAACAACGCATTTTAAATAAACATTATACCGAATTGAAAAAGCGAAAAACGAACAAAAACAAAAGCACAAAATGTAAATTTACAAGTAAACTTTTTCCAACTAACTTCATTTCGTTTTGTATATTCTCATTCTAATGCTCTTTTCTCTTCTTTTCTGTTTTTCTTCTCATTGCAGGTAATGCATATTTATGAATTGAACACTGTGACATTTTGCGCTCTTTGCTGCTGCATTTGTCGGTATGTATGTCCTTACTTTGGCAGAGTCGGAGTCAGCAGGGCTCCAGCTGGTGTCGGAAGTTGTCGGAAATATGTCAAATTTGAATAATGGAATTTATTAAATGTTGGAAAATTATTATTAGATTTGCTTGACTTAATGCAATTTCATTATTATACATGCTGAACCGAGAGAAAAGCAACAAGAATGTTTACAAAAGGTTGAAAATAGAAGGGTGTTAACCAAAAAGTGGCAAAGAGCAATGCTAAACGTGCAGGCCTTTTGAATATCGTATGTGAGTTTTAAGCGATGGGTGAATGTTTGAGTTCTCACGAATGCTGGCTCGTAGAGTTTTTTGTGGAACATGAAGAAAAAAAGTTGTGTGTTTAGAATCAGGAACTTTTTTGGAAAGAAAAAAATGTTAGAGATAATTCATAGCTAAAAACTTAATTTACTGTTTATTTCGCAAAATATTTTCCTTTTCAATTCACTACAGACCAGTGTTGAGACCTTTGCAATTGATAAGAAGTGAAAAAGGTATTAGTAACATAAAACCAATTAGAATATATATATATATGTATGCATGTACATTGCGAATATAACGAAATTGATAAAATAATAATTTATGGGCGCTCAATGATCGGTTGGTTCTAGATTTTAAGGATAAAAACGGTTATCTTGATATACACGTTTAGGGGCTAAAAAAATTACGAAGGATTTATCGGACCAATGCCCCGTCCATAAAACACTATTGACTAACTAACTAATTTAGCACTAAATTAACATATGAAWCTGTAATTTGGTACAGGGGATTGCAGTAGCAAAGGCCACCTCGGGGCTGAAAATTTTGAAAAATAAATTTAGTGTACATATCTCCTAAACCAATAAAACTACGACAACCAAATTCGCCCAGCGCAAATATTATATAGACTTCTAGCGACGGTGTGATGATGAAATGGGTGATATCGCGCCGGGGTAAAAAGTGGACGATGGGCATGGCACCGCCCACTTTTTGGTGAAATTCCATAACTCGGGTCCAGACCGAGCGTTTTCGATTAAATTAGGCCTTAGGTACCGAATGTGTGGACCCCAGTATCTATAATAGACTTTTGTCCGAATAATATAGGCAAGTGTATGGAATATACAATTGAAACTCTGTGAGAAAATGTGAACTAAAAATAAGTTGAATCGGGTCAATGCTTCCCTGAGTCTCCATATACCTATTATAAAGATTTTCGAACTTCCAGGTGACTTTATGCTCGATATAAAGGCCAATCTAAATGAAAATTACAGATCGTGTTTTGCTCATAATAGTGTATCTTTATGGCAAAAGTAGATAAAATTGGGGGAAAACTTGACCTAACCCCCCTAAAATTAATACCAAAATTTTCCAACATCCGACTGACTTTATTCCATGTAATTGGTGATTGTATGAGAGGTACCTTAATGAAACATTTAGTAGGTGGCATATGATTTGTTCGTGGTATTGGCAAGAGTAGAAAAAATCGGATCGATACCACTCTAACTCCCACATACTATATATAATGGTTTTCGTTTTTCTAACAAACCTTATGTTTCTGTCAGTGTATTAGTTATGTATATGTATATATAAAATTGCTTGGATTCCGATCCTCTGGTTGACCTTTTACACCTTAAGGTATGTTCCTGGCTTCAATTCCTGCTAGTTGCGGGAGTATAAAAGGGTCGGTTGCATCCGAACTTTGCCGCTACTTACTTTTTAGTTTTATTTTTTACAAAATATATCCTTTTCTCACGAAATTGGAGGTAAACCCACCTTTTTACGGCCCAAACACATTTCAACCTTTTTCGTTGAAAATATTTATTTTTTATCTTGTTTGAACGGAAAAGCACCCTCATTTTCAATCGAAAAGTTTTCGTGAAAAAATTTCTATTTTGTTTTTTAAGTCGGTAGGCATTTTCTTTGTTGAGAGCAACGACATTTTTAAAAGATTCTTTTCTACCACTTCCCGACTTCAGACCGCACTTACCTTAATTTTTTGTATGATTTTTTTTTCAATAATTTTAGTCCTTATTTTATTTTCTGGGTTTCAAAAACTTTCGTCCTTTTTTGGCAACATTTAATTTTTTTCTACAAGTAGTTAAATAAAATGGTGTTAAGCCTTCTAAAAAATATTTTCTTAAATATTTTCAAGGTAACAACCATCAGATAATATTAAGTTAATTTTATAATTTTAATTGTCACTTGGCAACTCTACTTGAAAATATTTCCCATCGACATTTTTTCAAACTTCTTTAGTTTGATAAACATTGTATTATTAAATTTATACTTTACATTTAATATATTGTCAAATTCAGGAAATACACCTTCGAAATTAATGAAGCAACTGATATCAGATCAAACTTCTTTTAATTTTGCTTAATGTTCGGACTGTCCAGTGTTTTAAACTCATGAAATATTTTTCAAAATTGCAAAAAAGACAACACGCCGCTAGACAATAATATTTTACTTTGGGAAATGACTTGTCAAAAGAAACTTTGCAAACAAAACGAACAGGGAATAGGTGCCACACAAGGATTTTTTTATAAATGACATTACGTTAAGCAAAATTCAATTAAATTGACGGGTATAGTGCCAACCACTTAGAGCGGTACCCTGCCTCCGCCACGTTCATGCATTTTTTGATGATCGCGTTTCGCACTTCTCTTTCCTTGCATTGGAAGCGTTTCTTCACAAAAAATATAATATCTTTGATTTTCAATGGATCCAGTGGCAGTTTGGGTATACCGTTCGATTGTTGATGTCTCGCCAATAGTTTGCTCGGCACCGAGTGTGTTGCGAGAGTATCATAATCGAATAATATCGTCAAAAGTGATTGTGTGCAGACCTCCAACGAATCCCATAGAATAGTGTAGAATTCTAATTTCGATATAATGGTGCCATTTGGTCCAATATACATGAATGTTCGGACATCCTTTCGCCTCTGCTCATCTACTTCATTATATTGTGTACTTTTTTCAGATTTGCCCTCCTCCAGATTGATTTCGTTGTCGTCTTTCGGGTATAACAATAGCCGATGTCTATATGGAAGATCTTCTCTCACAGGACAGCCGGGTAGCAGGTCTTCTACGAAGATATGTGTCGGCACTTTAACACTGTTTTCTGCTTCAACGTAAAAATTGCAGTTGCAGATGCCTCTATTTCTAAGAAAATGATAAATGAGAGTGCTAAACCTATTTGCTTACTGAAAATTGAAATATACCTTGATGAATTAGACTGGTTAGACATTATTAGGTACTTTTTTATGACAGTGTTAAGCTAAATTTCTGAGTGCTTATGAATATGTGTTTGAGTTGACGTCCAATAATTTTGTTCATATTTTATGTCATTACAGTTTTTTTCACATTAACCTATTGAAACTACCTAACTGCACTTCCGCTCTGTCATCGAAAGAATTTCTCAGCGCTCTCTGAAGCTTAACTTAACGTTGCCACTTTGGTACGATTTTTTAAGTCTCACTCAGGTTTCCAAAGTCGGTACCCATCATAGCTTTAAAGCCACTAGAATACTCTTTCCTTTTGAAACCTTGAGCACCATGAATGTGCTCCCTTTTGCATCAATTAAGGCATGTAAAATGAAAACAGAATTTTACTGGAAGAAATAATCCAACATTTAATCTGACTCTTTATAAAATATGAACAAAAAATTTAGTGGCAACCCCTTATATAGATATATTATTGTGCTGAGTGAAAGCCAGGTCCTTATAGTCAAGTAGGGCACTCTCCTTTATTTATGGAGTAAGAATTCCCTTTTAAGCAGAGTAATAAATTTCCTATGATTTTGAGCATTTTTATAGCACCTGTAACTTCTTACTACTCATTTAACTATTTTATATTTAAAGCGTGATCCATTTCGAAGATCCGTGCTTATTTAAAGAATCTTTAAATGTAATGGTGAATGTTTACTATCATTCGAAGGAACAGTTCTTCGCATTTATTTTTTGAAGATTATTTCTTTCTCAGGTGGTCCAAACGTTGAGTTCAATTTTCGATGATCCGTTCGAACATTTCGACTGGTTCTGGCTAACCATACCCATGTTGTTGGGATTGTCTGACTCTAGACTTTAAATATCCCTACAGGAAAAGTCAAGAGGGTGTGATATCACACGATCTTGTTGGTGGCCAATCGGTTGACAAAAATCGTGAAATTGTTCTGTCGAAAAAACCATTGATTTATGCGATATGTGGGAAGGGGCGCCCTGTTTAAACAAAACGTTGTCGGGATCACGAACTTCAATTTCAGGCATCAAATAGTCGGTTATCATGGTGCGTTAACGGTCATTGACGGTTACGTTTTCCCCAGTATCGGTGACTCCACCGGCCCACTACCCCATCAAACCGTTGTCTTTTTCTGAATGAAGGGACACCTCTTGAATCTCTTCAGGTTGCTCTTCGTCCCAAAAGTGGTATTTTTGCTTGTTTTCATACCCATTGAGCCAGAAATTAGCCTCATCGCTGAGCAAAATATTACTTGAAAAAATCAAATTTTCTTGAAACTTTCCCAGAGCACATAGAGAGAAGCGATGTAGCTTGGCCACAGTTCTTGTGCAAGCTGCATTTTGTACAATTTCGGCTTACTACGGTTGCTATATTTTCTTCACTACTATTTCTCTTCTGTTGAAAATTATCCAGTAAGGAATGCTGAGTCTCAAAATGGGTTATAGTGTAATGGAAAGTACGCTCAGTAGGCCGATTATGTTGACCATAAGTTGAGCGAAGTGCGCGAAACACATTGATTACAGAACGTGAAATTTCGTGGTAAAGTTGAACGATTTGTAAACGTGTTCTGAACGAAAATAACAGGACAGCTTGACACGACTCAGGCGGGATCTGTCAGAAAAAGGCTATTGTAAAGAGCACATCTACTTGGATCACCCGTTACTATAGGTTCCTTTATTTGAGGATTAATCTAATATTAACAAGTAAGGTACGGCTAGGTTCGGGTGTGAGGACGAAGGTCAAAGACGGTGAAAATAACTGAAAGATTGATCGATATTTTCGGTAAAAAGTTCGGTACACATATTCGCTATATGGGTTTGTACCGATTTAGACAATTTTCAACACCTCAGGAGTACAAAGTTTGATCCGGATACAGTCACTCGTTCCTGATTTGTATATTGAAAAGTGAGAGAATCCGATGAAATTTAAAATTGAGTTACATGAGAAGTAGGCGTGGTTGTAGTCCGATTTAAATCATCATATAGGGGGAGGGCGGGCGTATAATCTGAATTGACGAGTTTTCATGAATGACTTGTGAATGCTCCTTGATAATGCGAATGACTTTTAATGGCTTTGGAGTCGATTTTTTCAGTTTCGAAAACAGATAAATGTCACAGGCTGTCAAATATGCGAAAACGATTGCTGATCGATGATTTTTGTTACGATTTTGGCGAAGGAGTTGATCATAATCATGCTGGAATGTGACGGCGCACTACCATGGTGAAAAATCTATTAATTTCCTGCCCACAGATTTGATCGTTTGCGACGAACCGCTTCACATATGTAGATGCCTCAAATCGGCAAAGTAGTATTTGTTATCGACTTTTTGACCTTGTGGAACGAAATTATGAACTATACTATGGCAATCAAAGAAATCGATTTTTGACTGAGTTTGACGTGTTTTTTTCGGTTTCGGCGCATGGAGTCCTTTTCGCTGTCATATTCATAAACTTAATTCTTATAATCAGTAATTCGGGTTTTGATAAACGTAGGGTTCTCAGCCACGATGTCAAACATCTCTTTTGCGACCTCTATTATTTTTTGCAAAAGTTTCACTTCTTTTATTCCGAGTCAAACATTGACATGCTTAATTCTCAAAATATTAATCAAACAGTGTTAAGTTGAAGCATTATGGATGTTGAGACACTCTGGTATCTCTCTGATCTCAACAAGACCGTTTTCTAAAAATGTTTCTTTAACTTTTTCGCTGCCAAACACCCACTATATAGATAAAATTTCACACGGACAATATTAAATGGAGCTTTGATGTGTTCGTATGCTAGTAAAATAGTGAAGTAAACTCCTAAGAAGACACTGAGGAACAATCCTTGTGTAGCTTGTGAGTGATTACCTTCTAATAGCCTATGGAGAGCTCATATAACGGTTTCTCTTGAGGATAAGAGAATCGCTGTATTTAACAGGAGGACATAAAAAATAGTATGCCAACCTTGGAAAGAATTTTTCATCCATACGGTTTACGAGTGTAGTTTAAATGGACCAATCCGGGTCAAATATGATCAGGTGGATACTGACTAAAAATGGCAAAAAAATGTTGAATAAAGTTTGTTTTTATTGTATTTTCTGAAGCTCTATTTTAATATTTATATTTTTGCTGTTTCTTAAAATAATTTAGAAGCTATATGACGTTTCATTTAAATCATTTTGCTTCATAAGTTCTCAGATGGTTGTAATATTCTCCCTTCCAAATTTGTTCACGACAACTGAGTATATTCCTTAATACGCAATATATTCATAAATATTAATTTCCATAAATAATATTAGCAGATTACATAATCATCTCTTATTACAAAAATTATTTTTAAGCAAATTACACACTGAATGAATGAAATTTGATTATTACACTCCGTTGCCATTATTGCAAAATTTTACAACAAAAATTTTATTCCTTAGAAATCCTCATAAAATGCCTCAAGCTGTTCAACATAGCAAATATAAAGTCCTACCAATAATTTATAAGTTTACCGGAGGTCTTGCAAATTCAAGTCTAAACGCACACATTTTCATTTCGAAATCAGATAAAAAGCAATAAATTGGCATTTAAATATTTCATAAATATTGCGCAATATATTGAAATTCAGTCAAAGAAAATTTAATGGAATTAAATTACGCTTGTAAGAAGGAAAGTGAGCACCTGTGAAATTGCACGTGACTAGGTGAGTGTGTGTGTGTGCGTGTGTTCGTATGCCGGAGAGTGATGACCGGCGGCTGCTAACGTGATGGCAAATGTGAAATTTATTGCATAGCAAATGCAAGCCGGTATTTAGTTGTAATTGATGTTAATGATAGCAAATTGGCAAATCGATATATTTAATTAATTAAGCAGCAGTAAAATGAAAGTGTGTGAAAACTTTTTTGATTTGGCATACAATTTGCGGTATTTTGAATTTTGAGAGATGTTGTTATGTAGCGAAAATAAAATGTATGTAATTGTGTTGTGTTCTAAAAATGTTCAAGATTTTATTAATGCAAATTAAAGAGTATCGTTTGAAAAGTATGAAGACTGCAAATTCAAAGCAACTCAGTCATTCTCATTTCTTCTTCTAGTTAGCTTCCAGAATACTGTGATCCTCTAGTTCTGACAGTTGTTGGGTGGTTTTTACTGGAAGTTTCGATTACCAAGCTTCCAAAATGTTGTCTCTGTCATCAGCACTGTCTATGAATGCCTGTTGGTTCGCAACTTCCAATAATTTGTTTTTGTTGATAGTGAAAAAACTAGCGCCATTGATAGCTCCCTAGAGTAAACTATATCAGAACAAACAAATATAACGATTAATTTATTTCTCATTAAGCTAAATATGTTTGAATACTGTTTGCGGACGCACTCACCCAACAACACATAACTCTGTTATGGTCTGTCCAAAAGTTGTCCCGGATTATTATCTTCAGCATACAATTGGGATTGAATTAGTCTCCAATACATATCTTTAGGATATAATTGTGTATTAATTAGTGGCAAAGGAACGTTTTATGGTATAGTTGGAGCCTAGTTATCTGGCTTTGTATGTTCAGTCCTTGTTTGTTAGCTTTAGAGTACAAATGAGTATAGTAAATTTCTTCATAGAACATGGTGAAACAAAGGGAACAGTTCGTTCCTTATAAAAAGATCAAAAGTGCCATTAGGCACGCATGCTCCTTCGCGACTAATCCCGGGCCTGCTCTTTTTCTACATAGTCTACAAAGCATACATATTTCTTATAAATCTGAATTTAAAATTCTACCTTAATAAGTTGACTTAAGGGTATATGGTTCTTCAGAATTAAAGTCCTCACATTTTATCTATATAAGGTCATAATCCTATTATTTCGCAGTCTTGATTGAGATTGAGTCGTGCAGTTTTTCTTCAATATTTCAATGTTTATTTTTAGAAACATATGCAAATGGTACTATGCAAAGTATTTTTCATCTAAAATATTTCCCCATCTTTCTAGTAATTTGTGGATTCCATTGCAAAAGAACTGCACCGGATTAGAGGGCAAAAAATATTCAGTCCAAAATTATAGAGAGAGCGTTCTGCATCGAGTTCTTAAATCAGCCTTGCAATAATAACGGCTTAGAAGAAGTTTAGTTAATATGAAAAAATATTTTCTCGTGTGTTAACGGTAATTCTGGTGGTTATTCGGGAGAGTTTCTCATTA